TCCTGCGTGCCTGTCGTGCCTCTTGCAAGCCTTCCATGTGAAGTGCAGCTCTTCTGAAAGATAACCTCAACCCAGATAGCTCGAAATCCCAACTGAAGAAAAACATCCTAAACCCTAAACCATAAGCCCAACTGAAGAAAAACTCCCTGACACCATGACAAGAATCCTAAAACAACGGGAAGGTCCTTGGACCCTGAAACAGCCCGACGTGAATGTGTTGGGCCCTACATTAACTTGTGACCGTCCATACAAAGTCCCATGATCCTTGAAGTAAATTACATCTATGTTTCTTCGTATTTTGTTGTTATTGCTACTATTATCATTGTCGTGTTTTGTTATAATTGCCATTATCATTAGTTCTACTTCTTGTTTTTTTCTATTTCTATTCTTACCGTTATAAATATTTTTCTGATTATTGTCATGATTATTAGTAGCAATATTAACAGGAGCCTCCCTCCGCCGATTTAACGGGGCCCTGGCGCCGAGAAGATATCTCGACTCGTGAGGTCAAGCGCCGCCTGCGGGAGGCTTGGGAACGGCTCTTCAGAGTTCTTAAAAAGGGATCTATACGAGGTCTATAAGGGATCTATACTGGGTCTATAAGGGATCTATATTGGATCTGTAAGAAATCTATATGGGTTCTATAAGGGATCTTCACGGGGTCTGATATGGGTTCTATAAGGAGGGATCTGTACAGGTTCTATAAGGGCTATGTATGGGGTCTATAAGGGATCTATAGTATGGTGATACGGTTTAGGCTTTTTGGGTTTAGGGCTTCACCAAAAGAGACTTCTAAAAATTAAAGGGACAGTCAGGGTTTAGGTTTTTAGGGTTTAGGGTTTAGCGCCCTTTATTCGGGGGATCCTTGCAATAAGGAAGCTAGGAAGTTGAGTTCTACACTGGGGCTCCTGACTCGATTGCACATCGCATCAGGACTCTAGCATTTAACCATCACCCCAGAAATGTGAGGTTTCTTCCAGTGCACATCTCCGTACCGACATAGGGGTTTAAGGCTTTAAGCTTTGGGGCTTAGGGGCTTAGGGGTTTAAAGTCAACCCAAATCCGAAACCGGCTCCGCTCGCTTTCCCTGCAGCCTCGTTGCGGCCGCCTGCCGGCCCGGGGGGTGCTGCCGGTGGCGGCGCGGAGCGCGCGGATCCCTTCCACCTGATGAGGTCAAAGCCAGTGAGCGACTGCAATGGTTTGTAAGAGTCAACTCCCTCAAAAAAATCAGCTTTGAACCCTAAACCCCTTGAACTCGAAACACCTAATACCCCTAAAAGCCCCTAAACCCCTGAATCCCTGAAGACCTTAAACCTCTAAAGAGACCTTAAAGCCCCTAAAGCCCTGAAAAATCCCAGCTTTTGCAAAACCGAGGCCCGAGCTCGCCCTTCAGGATCATGCCGTCCAGCCAAACCTGGCTCCGGTTGACAAAGGTAGCTATACTGGTAGTTAGAGAACCTGGCTCCCCGTGCTTTTTTGGGAAGGTCTTTTGCTTTTCAGGTTTAGGGGGGTTTGGGGGTGTACGGGCTGAGGGGTTTAGGGGTTTAGGGATTTAGGAGTTTAGGGGTTTAGGGTTTGGTTTAGGAAGTTTAGGTCGGGCTTCGGGGTATGTTATAATAGAACTCATATAAGGACCCCCCGACAATAGCCCTACACCAGGGCCCTTTAGGGTTGGGGGCAATGGGCCATGCAGACAGCAAGGCAGCTGCTGGCCTGCCCAGCCTTCAGCGCGTCCAGCGCCGTTTGGGCGAGCTCCTCGCGTTTCGTACGTCTGAAAGGAAAAAGGACTACTTAGTAGCAGCAGGTATCTTATCTAAGGGAACCCTCTGCTCCCACGCTGAAGCTCGACCGGTCCTGCGACTTATACCGCACGATGGGATGATCCACACCTGTCAGCTACAGGAGGACCGAGCAGTCCCACCCCCTCCTATGGGACTGAGAAAGGAAGCTCTTCTTAGGCTCTTAGCAGTCTTAGCATTACACTGTGACTCTCGAGCTTCGAGAGTTTGGGAGGTCCAAAGTGAGGGTGGGGACATGATGCTTCACACCAGGAGCCAAAAACATCCTCGAGTTCTAGTGCTAAAACTAAGATCCTTACCAGAACGACCCGAAAACAGGAACCTCTGATTTTGAAAAGAAAACCTTGTCCGATGTCGACAGGCCCCAAAGCCGAAATCCTAACCTTTTGCCCAACTTGCAGACCCTCGTCATTCGCATTCGAAGCTTTTGCCACAGAACTGTGCAGTTGTCAGCAGCGGGGCTTTCCGGGCTCAGGGTTGATGCTTTGGCTTGTTTGGGTGTGCTTCAGTTTCACCTGCCACGGTAGAGAGGGGATGTTGGCATGCCCGGGCACACGCGGCAGCACGTTTTGGCTTGTTGATCATTTCTGGTGTTTAGCGATGCGCATCACGACGCTGTCGGGAGGAGGTGACGAGCATACCTGCGGAGGAGATACAGGACGTGAGGCGCCGGAAGCAGCGCCCGAATCAGGTACACGGCTTGTCTCTTGGCGGGGCAGCTTTCCAGGGGGACTTCTTGTTTCCGTCGCAAGATGAAGCTTCCATTGTCGCTGTAGCTGCACTGTAGCTAGAAGCAGCAGCATCACCATCGTCGTCGTCATGCCATGCCTGCTGACTCCGGGAATACAGAAAGGCGCAGACCCCAGCGGCCTCGTGGCATGCGCATGGGCCAGACGGGCACCAGACGAACATGGGCCAGCCACAGATGGTCCCCTCTGCGGAAGTTGCTTCCGAAGCCGACGTTTCCTGGAGTTCCCTTGCTTGTTGCATGCAGTTTTGGATTATCAGATGGGTATGGGTGGCATGCAACGCGGCATGGCCAGCCGCTGGCAGACCGGCACCGTCCAGTCGTGGAATGACCCACACAGCGCAGAGGTTGGTCGGAAGTCTAAGTGATCAGATCCAAACCCGGAAGGACTGCTGCCAGTGACGAACCTTACGTTCCAAAGCTGAAGGAACCCGAAAAGCGTAAGGAAACTCAATGGGAGGTTGTCAAATTAGGTACCTTTTTGGGTCCGTACAATAATACGGCACACTTTGACAACTGCCCGAATCGAAGGAAGTTGGCAGAGAAAAGGCCTCCAAGCGTCCCGGGCATCCCGCAAAAGGCTCGGCCACCGGCTCATCGAATGCCAAAATTTTAGGATTGCTACTAGGATGAGGATGAGTTTTAGTATGCCTATCTATATACATACACAAATACATATATACTATAAAACATATTTCAAAAGAAATATATATATATATATATATATATATATACATACATATACATATACATATACATATACATATACATATACATATACATATACATATATATATATATATACATACATACATACATACATACATACATACATGGGCTTCGCGGGTTTAAGGCTTCGGGTTGCTGTTGCGGTGCCCGCCTCGGGCGCCCATGTGGCAGCCGACCACCTGCGGCGCCGGCGCGCCGCGCGCGAAGCGGAAAGGGAAGGGCTCCGGGCTGAGAGCTTCAGACGCCCAGCCGTGCCGGATGCCGGAAATTTAAAGGGGAACCCTCATCTAATGATTAAGGCCCCTACATCATAGTACCCTCATAGAAACGCTTATAATGGAAGCCAGAGACTTCATTGTAGATTCAAAAAATCGAAGAGGAGTCCCTTCGTTGAAGAACCCCCTGCTTGGACGTCCCAAGATCCCCGCTGCGCCCTGCTGTGCCCGGCCTCGCCGAACTGCTCCATGGCCTTCTTGAGGCTTAGGCGACTGGATTGCTCCGAGATGCCTTGAGCTCAGGAAACGGAGCATCTTGCCATTGCAACTGCCTCCCATCCTACGAACATGGCAAGGACGCTGATTTCCTACGTGCAGAGGACATCCTCAATCTTCTCATACCGTCGGGGACTCGCACCCGCGGTATGAATCTTGCAATCCTTGCACCATGGTCAGCTTCGACGTCGTTCCCGCCATGTCCCTTCCCCCCCTCCCCCCCGATCTCTCCCTCGGACTTCAAGCCGGCAGACCGTGGATCTCAATGGCAGCAGATGACATGGCTGCAGGGCTGCAGAGGCAACCTGGGCACACGAAAGAGCATGTCCATTCTCCCAACTGCAAGATCTCAGTCATAGCAGCAAGGTCTTCGGGAACGCTGTACACCCTGTCTTTCCGTTGAAAGCGGCATTGAAATGACACCCGACAGCCGATAGCCGTATAGGAATGGCAAACTCAACCCAAGGCCATGGGGTGCTGGCTGCCTGACGGACTGGGCGGATGGCACCCGCTTTGAAGCCTAAAGGACCTAGTAAGGCCTGAGTGTCAACAGCTGTGTAAGGCAGTGTTCTCCCATGCCCCTCTGCAAGCCTATGTAGTAAGTTTCGTATGCGCATGAGCACTACTGCACCCGTCATTACACACTTCACTCTGGGTGCAACAAGCCCTCACAGCAGTCCCCATAAACGCGAAGCCTTCGCTCTTAAACATGTTGCTCGAAACTTGAAAGCTTACCTCTACTATCGTGTCAGTCGGCTGTTCCACCACCCAGAACTTGAGGCTTTCATGCTGCAGCACACCGCGAAACCGCGACAAAGACTGGAATGGCAGAGGTGTAAACTTCCCAGGCGAGCACTGGCAAACGGAGCGTTCGAGGGTGCGGGGCCTGTGGCGCCGCGGGATCGGGATCCCGGGAGCTGCCAGAAAAAGACAGCAGGCATTTGCAGGAGAGCGTTGCAATACCTTTTTGACAACGCAACCGGATCATCGCTCAGTATGTACAACGGGCTTTGCTTTTGTGCTGTGGCATAGTCTTCGCTAGCACTCTCCGTCTCCTATGCGGGCAATGAAGATAGGCACAGCATGCATCTGGCCCTCGCTGTTCGGCTGGGTATGGTCGTGCCGTTGTCAAGGCTTCGTGAATGCTGTCCTTGAGCTGCTACAATAACTTCCAGAGATTCTGAGATCTCGAGGCGCAACTCCATTGCTCACCGGGCTCTGAGCCACGCAGCTTCAGACCTGCAAGGGCTTCCAGGTTTTGGGGTCAAAGGAGGGACTCTGCCGTCAGGGTCAGGGCACAGCCTGTGTCTTCGCCATGCCGAAGCCCCCTCACCTAAACTTCCTAAACCTCTACAAATGTTCAGGGATCGAAATTCAGGGGTTCGGGCTTAAGGCTTGGGATTCACAGGCACTCCCCACCATGCCATGCTGTCGGAAGCATGTGCAGACTGGCGACAAAAGAAGTATGGAGCGTTTCTCAATGTGCATGAAGCGGGCATTCGAAACCGTTCCCTCGCAGACAAGAACACCTCAAAACGTCTCATACTTCAGTGCTACTTCCAAGAGGGTAAAGAGTCCGAGCACCCTAAGCAAGCACATGGTAGCCAGTCTCATAGTCCGAACTCAAGATGGTCCACGTGCTTGCCTGCGGAGTCCGACAATCCTCTGCGGGTGCGGCTAAGACCCCCCGTTCCCATCCTTTTTGCTTCCGACCTTATCCGCTCCGGACGTTTGTACGTGGACAAGCACATGTTAAACATGTGTCGGCGAACTACTGCTGATGCGAGATTGTACCCAACACAACCTTTCCAGCTTCTAGCTCTTAAGCCCCGTTATGGAAGCCTGCAAAGCCGACTCTAAGAACCCTTTCATCAGACACATACGCACGTATGCATGCATATTCATAGTAACACACATATGTACATATGTAGATACAAACACATATACATATACGTATACGTATACCTATACGTATACATATACATAGTTCGTCTCGGCCCCGGCCGAAGCGGTCAGAGGTTCTTACGGATTTCCTCTACTGCCCCGCCCCCCTCCTCTGTGTGAACCTCTGGATGAGAGCTAAGGACCGACGGTGAAATTCTGCTTCCTCCAATGGATTTCCCCCTCCCCCTCCACCCCCTTCCTCCCTTTTCTGCCTCGCCTCCTGCTAGACAACCGCACTTTTATGCAGAAGACTTGCGCAGAGGTCATCCGCTGCGCACTGAGACTGGTAGGTTTCTGCGCCTGAAGGTTCTCGCCTCGCGGAAATTTTCTTCGCCAAGGCAACTTTCGCGTTCGACCACCAGCTCTAGCCAGTTCGGCACGTGCGTGTGCGGATGTAGGGTTTTGGGTTTAAGGTTTAAGCTTTAGGGTTTGGGGTTTAGAGTTTCGGGTTTAAGGCCCATGGGCCTTGGTAGGCTTTCGGGTTGCTGCTTTCCGAAACGATGCACCCGCTTCAAGCACAGCCAGACCGAGGCGGACGACGCGAAGCGTTTAAAATGACATGTACACACATGGGTAGTTGTCAAAATTAGGGTCCCTTGTTGGGTACCCGAAATATTCGGTGCCGTATTATATTAAGGACCAAAACAGGGACCTTAGTTTTGATAACCACCCACATATCCCAAGGCCCCCTGTGTCAAACGGGCCCAGGGGCACCCCGGAGGAGGCGAAGTTCTCGAGAGCCAGGGCCGGAGGCCTGGCAAAGGTCACAAAGAAGTTGCCCCCTTTGCCGAGGTAGAGAAGCAGAGAACGGTTAGGCTTTAGGCTGTAGGCTTTAGGGTTTAGGTTTTTGGGGGTTTACAGGTTTAGGGGCTTGGTGGACTTGGGCATTAGGCATGTCCCAAAAAACATCGGAGTACCGCTGAAACAGGAGGCCGTCTCTAGACAAGACGCTGAGATCAGGCATCAGCCGAACTTGCGGACACAGCGACAGCCCGAGGCCGGGCGGCCTGGAGGCGCCGTGCGGGGCCGCCTTGAACTCTTGCAGCGCTCGGGTCCGCAGATGACGGAACCACATGACCCCTAAGCTGCTTGTGATAAGCCAAGATGCCATCAAAGGTGTGGCAACCGTTGCTGGCGGTCCTGGGAAAGCAACACGCGAATGCTACGCTTGGCAGAAATAGCACGAATGCAGAGGCAGGAAACAAATGCAAAATCGTGCCTTACTGCTGGTAAAATCATGAACACTTGCTCTTGTCCTGATCCGACTCCAGCATAATATTGACACAGTTTAGCACAGTATAGCAGAGTGCCAAAAAAGCACTGTATGCAAAAGTCTCGTGCACTTTCGCACCTGCAGAAGGCAGCCCAGTCTGCGCGAACTGCCTCGGCATCGGCTCCTTCCCCAAGGACACAGCTCACGTCGACTCGGTTGGATATTCTGGGCCCAGAGTTTGGTGAAAAGATGTGCAGTTCGAGCAAGAAGCACAGGCTCTGATTCTGCGCTTTAAGGTGGCAGCTCGGCGATGTCGGAACCCGAGGCCATGTTCCTGGCATTTAGCAGGGTATCTACCTGAGGTAACTTTCATCTCATCTCCCGCGCTGGTGACCTCGAAGTGTCAACTTCTCTGGAACGATCCATGTCAACAATGGGATGCGAGCAAGAGTCCTCGAATGGAAGGCGCCCGTGGGACCCTCCTGTCAGAAGAGTAACAATGAGAGCTCAGCGTCGAGGGCTGACTTTCGAAGACTGCTGCCTCAAGTCCCTCATAGTCCCTCTGTGGACCCCTGATTAATTCGCGCTCCTCCCTTCAGAAGGACTGTGCCGTCAATCCTGATTCATTATTGAGTCCTCTAGGAAAGAGGTTTATCATCAGGGGTCTACCTTCTGTGTGTCTGAAAGTAAAGCTACCATTTTGAAGATACATGTGTGAAGGATCCTACTGCTGGGGCTTCTCCGTTCTATGTTCGGCAACTCCCTTATGTGCTGCTTTTAAAACACCACCTTCTCACTGGATCCTACTGCCCCCCCAAGGCTTGATTCTCATGGGGCCTTCGGGATGTTCAGGAGGTAGCGCGGATCGTCTTCGAAGTCCACGAGCAAGCGCCTCGGCCATGGCGCTGGAAGTCTTCTGAAGAGCACCGAAGCTGAGCGAAGCTCCCGGAATCGCATGCTGAAGGCGCACAAAAGCAGCCCAAAGAGCCAAAGGTACAAGAACCAAGCCTGCCTGGCAATGGTCACATTGTAAACCTTAAACTTGAAACTCTAAGGGTCGATTCCTTCATGAAGCGGCTTTTTTGGGCTCGCTGGGAAGCAGAGGAACTCCCGGGGCCCTGGCTGCGTGGCGAAGAGGAACTGCAGGAAGAAGAGGAGGCACAAAGGCGAGAGCAGCCCGAAGAAAGCGCGCTCCTTAGCATCAAGCTGAGGGTCTTAGGGTCACTGCCTTCGGATGCTCACTTGACAAAGCCAGTGTCAGGGCTTTCTGACATGCTCGTGGGTCGAATCGGGCCAATGAATCCAATCAAAATTTCTCAAAGAGTGGCTGGGAAAGGGTCCAAAAAAAAACCAATCGGGAATGACTCAGAGCTTCCCGCGTGGCATAGCTGAAAAACTCCGGAAGATATACAAACGGAGCTACCATAGCTCCAACACCAGGGAAAAGGTAGCTGTCACACACGCTCCGCTGGGGCAAGCAATGGCAAGAACTCATCGAGGCCGCGGCATCATCGCAGCTCCCGTCGGCCGCGATGCCGAGCATCGCCTCCGTCGAGCTTTACTGTAATATACTATATAAAACTATACTACAAAACACTATAGTATACTATAAAAACATACAGAAAATCAATAGAAGTACTGGTGGTCATATAGCCAGAATAGACTGAACATAACAATAGAGACGATGCACTGTGGTACTAGAGCCGTAGATGTGATGTCAAACCTGCTCGTTCGATCGGTGCGAACCCGGAGTTTCTCAAGGATTGGGATCATGGCGACATGTGTTTGGCACTTACGATTATGATAATGATGTTAGAAATGACATAGTAACAGCAACAACTAAACATGATGGTAGTAGTAGTCGTCGTCGTCGCAGTCGAAGTTTTCCAGCCTTGACAGAACTAACAAGTTTGAGGCCCGGTGTTTTGGTGCCTTGTTCGGGCCGAATCGGGCCACGAAGGCGCTGGGATCGTCCCTTCCGAGCCTCGGACGTCAGCAAGGCTTTCGGGGCTTTAGGGTTTAGGGTTTCTAGGCCCGGGGTTGAGGAGTTGAGGGGTCATGGCAAGACCTCCTCCTTCCGGCCCTCTGCTGAATAGGGTCTCAAGTCAGACTCACCAAGGCTGATTCAGCAGTGAATCTTGACCATCCATCGGGCCCTTCCCAGGAACCAGAGTAGGATGCTTCGCTGCCGTGGGCGACAGTCTGCAGACGAAGAGCTTCAGCAAAGAACGACACGTGAATCGAGTACCCGTCGGATCTATACCAAGAAGCGTGTGCGAGAGAGAGAGAGAGAGAGAGAGAGAGAGAGAGAGATCCCAAAGCGGAGCCCTGGAGCCACCTCCCTTTAGCTTCCCCCTTTCTTCTTCTTTGGGTCCCGCACTCGCAGTTCACCAGCAGCGGGGCCTCGGCTTCTCAGGTCGAAGAAAGACTCGTGGCCGCCCGCCAGATCGTCGCCGAGGCGCATCGAGAAGGTACGTCAGCAGCCAGGCAGCCACACGAACCACCTTCAGCTGCAGAGGCGACAGAGATAAAGCGGCCCTCACCTGGCATATGAAAGATCCTAGCCTTTGCTGCCCCAAAGAACCTGAGCTCTCTTATAGGCTTTCACACTCCGAACAAAAAACCCTGCAGAAGCCTCGTAGTAGAAGAAGGCACGGAGGAAGTTCTCCTCGCGTTTTCGGAGCTTCGGAGTGCTCCAAAGGCGGGAGCTCCCAAAGGCGCTTCGGGTGCGCTTCGGGTGCGCTTCGCCGCGGCCTTCATGTAGAGGGCGCCGATGGCTCCAAGAGAGCCCCACAGGATCGCCTAAAGAACTTCAGCGAGTGAAAGCTGTGCCGCCCCCCCCGAGCCAAGAACTCCATCCGGAAAAGCCCCACAGGATCGCGGCTGATAACTCCAGGACGTCAATCCTGGGCGCGGGGAGGGGAAAGCGCTGCAAGGTGCGCGAGCATGGCATACAGCATATAGCCTTTCAAGTCACACACACAAAGCCCCAAAAAAAAAAAAACATGGCCCCGAGGCATCCGAGGCACAAGGCCCGGCTCCAGTCGGAGTAGCCGCCAACGAAGGCTCGTCGGTCCTCTCCGGTGCGCAAGGCCCCAGGGCCCCAGGGCCGAGAGGCAAAGTTTAGCAACTCGAAACCCCCCCCCCCCGCATTCCCCCTTTTCCGAGGTCGGCCTCCTCCACTGCCTGGGGCCAGCGCAAGAGAAAGAGGCCTAGGCCCGCGCAGCCTTGGCGGAATGGAAATACAGGCTGCGAGCAAAAAGCTCTTCGAAAACAGAGGTTCGCCACTTGGCTGCCGGACTAAGTCCTCCCAGGAAGACTGCAGTGCGCACTGGAACGCCTCAGCATCGAGTCATCAACTAGTTGTTCCCCTTGTCGGCAATGCAACTCCACAGCTGTTCCGGCGGTGCTCAAGGTTGCTGCACATGAAGGCCATCGGATGCAGGCCCACCCAACCTGGGGCATTTCGCGTCGGCTGCGCTTCAGTTGGGCAGAGGACGGGGAGAGGTCAACACTTAGAACCTGGGCAGCTTTAAGCTTTCTGCACAACCTGGACCGGAAACAGCACTGTGTCCACGGCCACGGAGGCCGCAAACGATGTGAGGACACTCACACATGGTCTGACGGGTCTCTGGTCTTCGCGGAATGCAACGACTCATCAACCGACTCTTCCGGAAAATACCTCTGCACTCTGTAAACGGAGAAGATTTCATCGGGAACCATCGCGGCTTCCGAATTGAAAGTAAGGACACGAGACTCTAGAGCTCGAACTCAGCTACTGCGAATCACTTAAGGACTTAGGTTTTTTGGAGGTCTGTATGTCTACATATGTCTATATTATGTTCAACATAGGCAGCCCTCGCCAGGAAAGCTCTCCCCCCCCCCCGCGCTGTGAGCCCGGCCATTGGCTTCCAGGGCCCCTCCGCCGCCGGAAGCGGCGGCCATGGGCTTTCGGGAGAGCCTCGGTCTGAGCATTCGGGGCTCTGGGGCCCGGGGGCTCAGATTTTTTCCGAGGCCTCGACGCTCCCCCCATGGCCCACCTGAAAGGCACAAAGACAACTCGGCGCGCCGGGAACCGTTTCCACCAGTGCAAGAGCAGCGACAGCGGCTAAAACCTGGTTCAGCACAGTGGCTTCGTTGCGGCCGCCCCCACCGACTGTTGGGCAGGGCAGCTAACCACTGCAGAGCCGAGAACGCGGATGCGGCGGTCGAGGTGGCTGACTTCGTTCTTAAGGGTTTTCGGGCTTTCCGAACAGCCTCGATCCAAGGGTCTTGCTCAAGCTGCATCCTCAAAGGAGTGAGCTGAAGTCGAAATCACAAAAGCCAACTGAGGCACTCGTCGGTCGCAGCACGGAACTTGACCAGGCGTTTTCAGTTGCAGAGTCACATGGTATGCTGTTGCTTCGTCAAGCAGCACACATTAACGACCCTGAAGAAAAGGCCTTGCCAGCTGCGACCTGGAGCTCCGCAGTAGCTTCAGAAGACGGTCCGCTGAAGCCTTCTATGCACGCTTAAGCCAGGTGTCGAAGCTGCTGACCTCAGGACCTCGGACCATGAGACTTTGCTCATTGGAGCGGGTCCCCGTCTTGCATCCAGAGGGGCTTGGACTGCATTCGCATGAGCTTGCCCATTCCGGCTTCTAAGATTCTAGAGTAAACCCTAAAAAATTGGAAACCGGATTCAGTCCGAATAGCGCTGGGATTCCCTCTACATTGCTCTTAAGGATTGAGGCCATTGGGTTTCCAACTTTTTGGCTTCTACTGTAAGTGAACGTTCAACCAAGATGATGAACATGTTCGGCTCCGCGAAAGCCACACGACAACGCGAAATGGGCATGAGCGTGATGCCGGTCTGGCATAGTTGAGGTCCTTGTGCCTCATCCAAGCCCCCGCTACCTGGAAGTTTCAGAAGAGAGAGATCTTGCATAGTACGGTCCTTGTTACAAGGACTCCCTTCAATAATGCGTCCTTCTGAAACCCCCATCTATGCCCGGTGCATCCTGCGCTAATCCCGCGGCCTGCCACCTCACCGTGTGCGGTGGGAGAGGCTGGCAAGACTCTAAAGAGTTCTTGCAGGGGTCTTGGGCACTATAGAGTCGAGGCTTGTTTAGGGTTTCTTGCCCAGAGTTGATAGGGAGTTCCGAACAAGGCTAACACGACTCAGGAGGTCTGAGAGCGGGCATGTCGAACATCGCTGCAGTCTCTTTTTGCATTCTCGCAGCCTTGGCCGAAAGCCGCCTCGATTCGACTGGGGCGGAAACTGAAAATGGCCGGTACGCCGGTGGCATGCCATGAACGCCATAAGGATTTCAGGGAACCCACCCCCCAGAATTTTGAGAAAGCCCATGCAATCTCGGCCCAAGGGTCTGGGCCACCAAAAACGGGGCTGAAACCCCATTGCCATACACCAAGCAAACTGCACCCATTGCTCATCGAAGACTCGGCCCGCCAGCTTGGCAGCTTCCATGGGCTCGAGGGGCCTGCGCTAGGGAGGGAAACGGAAGAGTGGCAGAAAGCAACTTTTGCGCACTGAAGTTTTAGGGAGTCTTCTTGGGATTTTCGGGCTCGTGATCCTGTTTTCCTCCGTTTTCCTCTCCGGGACCTCTGGCATTGGGGCCTAAGCCTAGGGACTATAGGGGCCCCCGGGTCCCGGCCTCGCTGCTCACGAGATCGGCTCCTGCAAAGGCACGAGGTGCCTGGGTTCTGGGACGCTGTGGGCGAAAGCGCCGTGTTTGTGGCGGGGCCTTAGGCGGCAGCCGCGTATCATCCCAAGTGGCGCCGGGGTGGCATCGTCGCGGGCATCGCCGTCCGTCTCCACTTTCAGCGCAGCCGAGAAGGGGACGCGGATGGGCGGCCGAGGCTGCGGCGCGGCGGGGGGATCTCCCGAAACAGGGCTCTTGCAGGCCGATGCCCGGGGGCTGCCGGCGCCCTGCTGTGCACCGGAGGATGCTTTCAGTTTCAGCCAGCTTCCGGCGCTTGAAGCGTCTGCGTGAACCTCAGTGCTCATCCGACTTTTCGCGGCGCAGAAGAAAGGACGACACGGCCGCCCTTTCCGGAAAGAGAGAACCCGAAGTTCGCCCAAGGTGCAAGAAGCCCTGGCGGGCAAAGCTGTCTCTGGCCACGGGGAGCGGGCTCAGGTCCTGAAACAAAACTGAGGTTTGTTTCTTCTGTCGTATGCGGAACTGGGATTGCATCTAATCTAGTGCTCCACATTGCAAGCTTTGTTTGCAGCCATTCTGGCGAGCAGTTTCCCTGAAGAGTTCGAATCACTGTTGGGGCTTTCGATCCAGATTTCCACGGCAAGTGGTCCTCATCAGATGGGACTGTCAGCTCCGCCAACGCTTCAAGCGGCTTGTCCGAAGCAGCGAGAATAGAATCCAGCACCTGCAGGCGTGCGAGCAAAGGCGTGTGCTGCGAACCATAGTTTTATGCTGAGATGAAACCTTCGAAAATCCAGACATCCATGCATTCATGCATGCTTGCGTACGTACATACCTGCGCATCCATTCATGCCTGCATACTACCTACCTGCCTACCAACGAACCCACCTACCTACGTAGATGCATGGGTGCATACATTATTACGTAACTATGCACCTACAGAAAAACCTACCTACATGCATACATACATGCAGACATACAAACGTACACTCGTACATACAAAACATCACACAGCATACTGCGACGTAGCGTAGCATAGCATGACGCAGCATAGCATCACGAAGAGTGATATGACGCAACAACATGTAGCACGCATGCGCACACACACACACACACACACACACGCACGCACTTTTGCAATTGCGGCAGTAACTTGACAGTAAGTTGACCTCTCACACTTGGGCCTCCTGCATCTGCGGCCATGTCTCCCGAAAGAAGTCCTCACAACGTTGGGGCGTCCGACAAGCTCTTTCTTTTCGGGTAAGGGCTCGCTTCCTGGATAGTGGAAGGCTCCAGCACAAAAACCGCACTTCGATGCCCCAAGCCGCATTTTCCGCTGGCTCTGATTCTCGATTCTCGGCCTCTTAAATCGGCTGAAGGCAGCTCTTTGGGCAATGCTCTGCCAAGGCATCCTCAGCTGTGAGACTTTGGCAGCCACAGGTGACCGGGCAGAGGTAGGCGAGAGGGCCGAACAACTCGGCCATTCCCTCGCAGAGGCTCTCTCCTGTTAGTTTATCGATCGGATTCGCTTTCAGCTTTGGGCAGCCTCCGGCTTTGATCAATGCGAGTTTTTCAAGGTCTTTTCTGTCGTAGGGCATTCGGAGCGGCCCGAAGAACTCGACAAAGACATCGTCCAAGTTGTCCCAGAAGTGATTCCAGCCGTCTTGTGCACTCGCTTGCGGGAAGTCTTGGCACGGCAGATCCTTAATCTGCACGGTCCGTTCGGCGAGACACCTTCCAGCGCAGCCCTCTGCTTGGACTTTGTACCATGGAGACGACATCGCATCTGTGCATCCACATGTCTCGCCGCACATAAGCCGCAGCATTCGTGCATGCGGAAGATAGCACGACTCTTGCAGCTCCTTGCAGGTGGTGGCCTTGCTATTGAGCTCGAAAGCTGCGGCGTTCATTCTGCCGCGCGCAATGGCACTCAAGCTGGATATGGAGGCGTCTGACTTGTCGTTTGGATCGACGTCTTTCTCCCAACATACCGGGAAGTACTCCGCCTCGTCAGCCATTTTCCGGATGCGACCAAACTCGAACTGCTGAATTTCCAGACTAAGCTGCATGTATTTTGGCGCAGGCGGGTCGGCTCCGTTGTTTGCGCTCCAGGGATTGTTCATTCTGAACTTGTAGCTTTCAACGGCCAGCTCGGCCAAGGTATCGTGCGTGTCCCCGGCGCCACGAGACATGAGCCCGTATGTCATGCCGACATCAGAATTGTAAGCCACGACGAAGTTCTGGATGCCGAAGCACATCTCCCTCTTGACCTCGAGCATGTGATGGCTCAGGGGGACCACCAGCACCGTGTAGGGGATCAAGAGCATCAAGACCAAGGCCAGGAAATGAAAAGCGGACTCCACCTGGCTCCGGTGGGGCGTGTAGCGAAGAGGTATCGGCTCCAGACCTCGGAGTGCCAGCTGAATCTTCGTAGGCATCACCGCCTGGAAAACGAAGTCATCGATGTCCAAGATGGCATTCAGGGCTACGGCATTCAATATCAGGTCGGCGATGGAAGTGGTGCCGCCCAGCCACTGCAAGCCGGCCACCAGCAGCGCAATTGCGAGCCCAGCGCGGAGTAGAGAAGACGCGAGGAAGAGTCTAAAGCGGTTCACGGAGACGCTTACGAAGGTTCCCTTGCGCAACTCTGTGCGTTCTGCTCGGGGCACCTGCATCATGGCCTGCAGGTGCAGCCAGATGTCGCGGAGTTCGATGAAGACACAGAGGCTCCATAGAGCCATGCACAACATGCAAAGTGTCACGCCTGGTTGCTCCAGGGTGGCCGCAAAAGCGGCCTTCTGCAATCCCAGGTATTTGTTGATGTCGGACAACAGCTTCGCCTGGGAGGAGGCGTGGATGAGGGACGAGTCTTCATCGCAAACGCGAGTCACGAGACTCGTCTCCGCGAGGTCCACGTACTGGTAGGAGTGAGCGATCTTGTTCCGCCAGACGCGAGTGTTCTCCACGTTGGTGTCGAAGGGATCGCCCAAAAAGCTGTTGCCGAGCAGAATTCCGATGAAGGTGCCCTGCATCATGATGTTCCCGAGGTAAAGCAGCAAAGAAAAGGAAACATCCCACATTCCAGCATCCGTCAGGCCCACCACCGCCAAGATGTTCCAAGCGTTTTCGCCCATCTGAACTGGCACCTCTTCCTCCCCTCCCAGAAGCGGCTCGGTGGGAACATCCTCTCGATTCTTGCCATTTTTCATCAGCTTTGAACTACCAGAATACGGATATAATATAGACCATTACATTATCTTCCGTTAGATACCCTTGCTTTCTCATTGCTTCAACAGCTTTATCGTTGCTTTTCTTCAACCCAAATTATATACCATTATATACCATTATATACCATTACATACCCAAATTATATACCCATATTATATACCCTTAAAAGAAAGAAAGAAAGGAAGAGGTCCGTCCTCGGCCTTGAGACCCTCCAGGGCCGCGACGCGCGCGCCGAGGCTGCGGACCTCGGCCCGGAGCGCCGCGTTCTCCCTCTGCAGCTCCCGCAGGGCCTCGCTCGGAGGAGTCGAGGAAATTTTTTTGCGTTGCTGGGGGAGCTCTACTACGGGTTTGTTTTGGGGGCTTATTTCTAGGAGTCTCAGAGATCTTTCTTTGGGGCTTCAGGGTTGCAGGGCGGGCAGGGTGTAGAGGGAGTATATAGGGAGTAGAAGGCTTAAGGCCTCTTTGGTTTTGGGTTCAGTTCAGGGTTTAGGAAGTTTACTTACCTTGGGTTAGTAGGGAATGGAGGAGTGGGATACAAGTATATAACTACATTACTACCATTCTTCCATTACCGACTAACCAAAGGTAAGTTTAGGAAGTTGAGGGAGCCTCCATGACAGGCACCCTCTCCGCCAGCTCGACGTCCATCTTCGAGTCTCGCGCAGTCGAGGCCGTCATGGCACTTCGAAAGTTGTTTACAGGCTGACGGCTGATGCGAACCTCAATTCAAGGTTTTACAGGGGTTCTACACGGGTTTATTTATGAGGGTTTATCAGAGCGTTTTCGGTTGTCACGAGGGCTTCATACAGGAGTCTCAGTCTGATAAAGGGCATCGCTTTGGAGTGCCGCAAACGGAACGGCAGCCAGACCCTTCATGGAAAAGAAGCTGCGAGCTTGGAAAGCGCGAGGATGGCTTGCAGCATATTGCAGCAAAGACTCTGGCCACACCCCGGGCTCACGCCAGGCCCCTCGCCGAGGGTTGCACGCAGAGCTCTGGATGATCGCGAGACCTATCAGGTGCCAGATCCGAAAAAGGTTCAGCGAGCCCGAACCCTTCGCTCTCGATGCGTCTGCAGCCTGGTCCATCGCCCCTGACATTGCGATAGGCAGCGGCAAGCGCACGCCGGAACCTGCCAAGAATACGACGCGAACTCCGAAGCGCAAGTACTCAAAGTGTAGGCTGGGCTGCTACAGGCCGCCGGCCCCGAGGCTGCAGCCCTGGCGTGGTTCTTTGATGGCTTTTGTTGGTGTTACAAGACGACTTAGATCTTAGGCCACTAGTGACTAGACTATAGAGCATCTACTGCAAGGAAAGCACTCTATTATGTGGCCAAGCTCGAATCTGGCGCTCGAGACGAGGAGCAACTCCACCTTGCTCTTCTTGGAAGGCTCCTCTTCGGCTAGACTTTGCGGCCAGCACTTCGGGTAAAGGAGACTCAGATACCAAGTTTAGGTCTACCAAGTTTAGGTCCAAGGGGGGAGAAGGGGGGGGGGGGTAGGGTGTTCGGGATAGAGGTTTAATCTATTGGAGTCCTTGATGCGCATGATTTGCTGGCCACCAGCAGTCTGGAAGCGCAGGCGCCTTGCCAAGCAGAGCGAAAAGAGAGCCACAGGCCCTGAGGCCCTGACATTACGAAAACATAAACCAGAATTGAAACCTTTTGAGCTCCCATCTCTTCTGAAATGGGAACCTAAACCTTATGCAACCCTGTGAATCACGTACAACACCAATATGCCTGCAAACATCACTTCGTCTCTGCTCTAGTTATGCTCCTCCAGAAAGGCCCCTTTTGTTGTTTTTGCCCCCCGCGGCTTCTCGCGCCGTAGCCACACGGCCAGTTGGCCGATGTCCTGCGTCGCTAGGCCTCGACTTAAGACGCCGAAGGGATCTTACAAAGGGGTTCTATAAAGGCTCCCAAAGCGCTACATAGGGGTTCCTGTTGAGGGTTCCAGGGTGTTCGTGTAAAGGGTGTCGGAGTTCTGTAAGGGCTCTATGAGGATTCTATATATGGGGTAATATGTTGGAAGAGTCTACAAGGACTGAAAAAGAACTTTATGATACGACTTCTACCAGGAGTCTACAAGGGTGATGCTACGGTTCTGGGGGCTTCTGGTTTTTGGAGGTTATAGGGTGGGGGCATTTGGGCTTAAGATCTGATCTGTGGAGTGCCTCCATTTCTGCATTCTGTAGCTCTATAAGGGGCGGAAGTCGGAAAGCCAACACCTACACCTGACCAAGAGACAGCCTTAAAAGTACCACTTGAACCCCTAACATGAATTCTTGTAGGAGCCCTTTCAGCAAGCCGTACAGTAACCCCAAGCCCCAAACCCCCCAAATATGTGCAGATGCTCCGAGTACGTGAACACCACTGTGTCGCCAAGCGACATCCCACGATGCGTTGCCAAACAGCTTGCCCCACCTTCACAGGCTTTTCGAAGAACCCCCTTTTGAAATCCGTTGCACTCCGAAGCAGGCTGGAATGTGCGACTTCCAAGCTTCACACTTGGATCCTGCCCCCACCAAAAGGGAAACCCCAGTACCATCTGATGTTTAGGGGCTGTATCCTTAAACGCCAAGCCGTAAACCCAATCAACTTGTCTTTGGAAGCCTCAATCAAAAGCTCACCTCGCCTCCTGGCTACTCTTTGCCTTCTGCACGACCTTTGCCCATTCGTCTGGGTCTGTGACCTGCAGCGTGGACAAGAAACCTCCGGTTTCCAGGAAACGCTGGAAGAAAAGAGACCCTAAACCCTAAACCCTAAACCCTTTGTTTAGCCAGGTGTCCGAAAACGGTGCCGCTTCCCCGAAGCTGGGTCCAGGCCTCCACACAGGCCACCAGCAAACTCAGTGGTGCTTACTAGGGAATGGGGGGAATGGATCCCTATAGTAGTCCCTATATAATCCCCAACAACAGTTCCCATAATCCATTCCCCCATTCCCTACTAACCACCAGGGAGCAAAGGCATGTCAGGTTCAAGTCTTCAAGAAACTGCCGCGCTTTCGGGCCTTTGACTTCTTCCGCCCAAACACGGACACCATCCTTTGTAGAGCCCTTACCTCAAAGAAACCCCTTGTAGGACCCCAACAAGGGACCCAGTTTAAAAGGTCTGGGGTTGTTCAGTGAAGGTTTTTCTGGGCTGGGGGAAGACTCGTCGTCGTTGCAGCCATCGCCGTCGTCGTAGTCACAAGAGCACTTTGACTAACACGTTAGCTTAAACCACACCCTAGAATCTTATTCGCCAAAGGGCGGTTTGGCCTCAGTCCTATGCCATGCACCGCTGTGCGGGATCCCTGAATGCTCTCCGAGTCACTGGGCCCCAGGAAATCGGATCGGCTGCGTCCAGCCGAGGTCAGGGCCATCGAGGCACAGCAGCTTCAGCAACATTGCCTGCATGGCCTGCGTGGCTTGGCTTGCAGGTCACGCGATGCAGATGGCGGATGGCTGCGCAAGATCTGGAAGGAACCGCGCTTGCAGGTCCGAGTTGCATCACCCGGTTCTTGAGATGCCAAAGACGCTTGATCTCGTGCACCTGCTCGAAGCCAAACAGAACTGCAGCCATAAACTTTGGCCCAACATCCCATCTGTGGCGGCCCTGAAGAGACCACGCTCGCCTAGGCGGCGGCTCAGGAATCGAACCTGAGCAAGCAGCGGGTGCAAGAGGGGTTCCCACGGTTTTGGGGGTTTCGGTTAGGCTTTACCCTTCTCTAACAACATCTCCCTCGTTGTGGATGGCCCCTTGGCACTCTGAGCCATTAGCCTTTGCGATTGAAAGCCCTGCACGTGCCTGAGGGTGTAAGGCAGCAGCTTCCCCGCGCACCAACATATCCCTCGGCATTCGCAACCCATGTGGGTAGTTGTCAAAATTAGGGTCCCTTCTTGGGTACACTAAATAATAGGTGCCGTATTATGATAAGGACCCAAAAATGGACCCTAATTTTGACAACCACCCATGTCAAAAAGGAACATGTCTCAAAGTCCCGGAGCTTCTTAGGATTTACGGAGAATTTGGCCATTGATCAGCTAAACACACCACAGTCGTCGATGAGCATCAGCTCACGTCTTCTTTATGTGTCTTTTCTGCAGGGGCTCCAGAAGGGTCTTTTCGATGTTGCAGAAGGGCGTTGTACGAGGTTTCTTGGGGGCTCCAAGAGTACACAATCCTTTTAGGAGTTCTCATTTGGGGTGTCCATGGACTCCTATTGGGGCTCCACAGGGATCTTCAGTGTGCTTCAACAGTGGTTTAGAAGCAACGCCTCTTGGGTGCCGCGTTGCGCTTCCATGAGCTGCTCGTGAGGCGCGGAAACCGCAGATATGTAGGCCTCCGGGTTGTATTCTGACGTCTCCTTTCCAGACCGCCGAGAGGGCAGATTTACATGAGGTTGGGAAAGCGAAACAGCTCTGAAATCTGAAAGGTCTGGCCCTTCCATCTATCAATCCATCTGTTTAGGGTATTTGGAATTACTTGGATGTTGGCGGCTCAGGTTCCCTCATGTTCCTTCTCTCCCTGGCTCCTCGACTTCCCAGGGCGTCGCGCATCGGAGGACCCCCACTCGCGCCAAGGCCCGCAGAATCACCTGGACCTCTGATAAAGCGATAAGAGAACTGCAAAACGCAGCGCTTGCTCAGACATGTATTGTATTGGATTTCCTCGAAACACACGCACCCCTGCTCATACAACACCCCAACCCCAACCAGTTCGAACTAGGGCTTTCAAAACCAGATTGCATCCCTTTCAAGCGCTAGTTAAATTCAGGTAAGAACCAGGAGGTTCCTCATCAGGACCCAAAGTCGTATGAAGATCCCGACAAGAAGGCGTGCAGCTGGGTGACACTCATTCGCGTACACTCATCGGGTGGAAGGAGTCTCCTGACAGGGTGTGCCTTTCCTTGCATTGAAAACCTAGACCTTAGCCTTAAACCCAAGCTTCAGCCACTTCAGGGTGGAATCTTCTTCCTGCCACCCCAAACGTGCAAACACATGCAAAGAGCCTCAAGGAGCAAGATCTATTCTACGAGAACCTGCTAAAATCTGCTATACTTTGTGCTGCTTGCTTTGTTTAATAACCCACTACATATTCAAAGTAAGACCATAAAATGTCCCGAAATCAGGTGTCTCTGAACTTGCAGAAACACCCCAAACACTCCTGGTGCTGTGGGCATGAGCAAGCCGTGACAGTTCGGAGACATCCTGTCGGCATTGAACTAAGCAGAAAGGGCTTGTGTGAAGCCTTGCGGTGGCGTTCCAAAACTTGATCAGAGGGTTAGGAAGCATAAGGGAGTGTATGAAGGGTTGGACAAGGAGTTTATAAGCGCAAGAAGCTGCGCAAAGGTTTCTTTGCATCAAAGGTCAGATAAAGCCTAGACTGACTCATTCCGGGACCTTTGCTGCGCGAAGCAAAGAGGTGACAAGGTGTGAGGCCACATCGTCTAAAGAGCAGGCACTCGGGCTGCTGTCCATGGGATCTACCAGATCTAGCAACCAGTGTGTCCTCCCCCTGAGCCTCACAGCAATCGGAGCTATCGAACTCGCAATCCGAGCAGCAAAGCTGCAAGCATGCAGACTTGGTGGGTCGCGAAAGTGAACCTTTGTTCGCATGACAGATTAGATGCCGCCACCTGGACCCCGACGAAGCATGCCGTCTCACGGAAGGTCCATCCCAAGGGCAGCGATGCAGCATTCCTAGGCGCAGCCCTACACCCTTGACTTGCAACTCGATTACGTGACGGTTTTTTGTCTTGGATCTGGAGGGTAGGGGTTCCGGCAGGGCAGCTCTTGATCCAATGCGTCCAACGTCCGACGACCTGATGCTTTCCGAGCCTCAGATATGCCAGCGCTTGACGTGCACGCCTCGTGACCTCGGCGTCTCGGCGTCGAAAAAAAACCCAATATCCGAGGGGTGGTCAACAGAACTGCCGCCCCAGGAGCCGGCAAGTGCGCCGCAAGCTCCGGCTGCCCCGCTGCCAAGGCGTCGGCCACCGCTTCTTCCTGTCTTGCGGCTGATCTGCAGCGACTTGCCCACGTTCCCGACTCGATACAAAGCGCTGAAACAAACAATGGAACCCAAAGATGCCCGAAGAGCCCAACACACGCAGTCCCACTACTTATGGGATGTTCCTTCAATCATGATGAGGAAGAAACCCCAAAAAAACCTCGTCATAATTCCTCAAATTCAATCAATGATCAAGGGGTGTCTTTCTGGTGCGTCTTCCGCTCTCTTTCCGTGCCTGCGGCTCTTCAGGCTGTCCCAGGCCTGGATCCTTCTCCAGAAAGTCCGTGTCGTAATCGCCCTCTTGCCTATAACGGGCTTGGCTTCATCGTTGGGTTTACCGCAGAGGGTTCCGGGTTCCGGCCCAGAATCGGCTTTCACGGGTCTCACACGCTGGGCCCCAAGGACCAAATCAACCCCCTGAAGGAGCCCATGGCTCATATCCCATCGGGGTTTCTCTTCCAAGACATAGAGCTCCACACAAGGTGTGCATCATCCGACATGGAAGCAGATCTTTACATCCTACATGATAGGGCCCCATATCCGGGGATATATCCATATATATATATATATATATACATATATCCATATTATATCCACATAAATATATATGTACATATCCACATATATATATATATATATATATATATATATCCATATGTATATATATATATATACATAAATATATGTATCCCCCACACTTCTCAAAGGCCTCCGTTGCTCCGTTTTGTCCGAGGCGCACGGCGTGCTTCCGGCGCCAGAGCGCGTCGAGGCCCTCGGGCTCCGGATCTGGCGGAGGCCTCAGAGATCCAAAGGCACGGAGGAAAAAAAAAAGAGGCCTGTACTATTATATTATAGGTTGTGGGGGGTTCCCCTTATTATCAGTATAATATAATTTAAGTACAATAACCAAAAGTTACCTGTACTATTTTCGGGGCTCCTCATTCTAATGAAAGTATAATGACCCGTAGTCTAATTATCAATGCCCCTATGTTACTCTTGTGCTCTTGTGTTCGGCCTCAAGGGATGACCTGCTGACATTCGGCTTCCCGAGTTCGAGATCTCATAAAGGGCGCGGGTGTCAACTTTGAGAACTTCGGGTGAGAGCACAGATCAATGCAGGTTTCAGAAGTTCCTTAGATCAGATTCCAGAATGAGGGCTGTCTTCGACGACAAACCCTGAAACAGCCACCTACTGTGAGGGAAACATCCTGAAAGGGCTCTGGAGCCCTCTTCGATTCAAAGGTACTGGAAGCAGACCAGCCCGCATCGGTCGAGCACGGCACAGAGAGCTGTGCTCTCGGACTCGATCCTGGGCTACGGCGAAAACACGGTGCTTTTTGGATTCAAGGCTTCTAAGTGTGAGGGTTTGGGGCTCGGGTTGAGGGCTTGGCTTGTTTAGGGGTTTGAGCGCATCGATGCGAGGCCGCGGATTTTTATGCTATTCAGGTTTCATGATCCATAACACTCTTTTCGGTCCGGGCGCCAGCGCAAGCAGCTCTCCACTTGAGCCATGTCCAAAGATTTCTCCTGCAGGCAGGAAAACGTCAGGCGCTAAAGCCCGAGGAAGACAAACCTCTTGACACGACGTCACGTCACCGTGAACTTTGCTCCAGCTCGGTTTTTTGGGGACTTGCAGTTCAACCCGGCCGAGAAAATTCGCGCCTGTGGCGCCTCCCAGACGGCCCGCCGGGGGGGGCCGGCGGAGGCCAGTGCCCTCAGGGCCCCAGTTCCTCGGAGCATCCAAACAGTAGCTTCCTGATGACACCCACACTCCCACACTTCTTCTAGGGCAGTTTACTGCATGGGGTTCAGGGATCAGATGAACTACGGTATCTACGCAGTTCAGAGCACCCTCTGCGAACCCTGTGGTAACAGCACCGCAAAGCAGATGCAGAAGAGCCGCTGCGCTCCTCCGGCCTCGACAGGTTCAACTTTTGGAGTTGTTTCATGGACATGAGACGAAGATGGAGCTTCCGATCCCGATCGCTGCAGCCTTGACAGTGACAGCCACAAGAACTACAGCAAAATCGTCGCGGCAGGAACGGCAGACACGCTGCGCAGCGCCACATACATCAACGTTCGCGATGCTATGCTACTTCTGTGAAAGCTCAAGCCGTCTTTGCAAGACCCTCCGTGGCCTGGCCTCGCTTGCTGAGCAGCTCCTGGAGCCTCAAAGCTTCTTGGGGCGAGGCTTCTGCGGGGCTCCTCTCCCTAGTCCTTACCGCTTTGCAACTCTACCTGCCTTCCGAAAAAACCGGTCCTTTGGATCCCGGACTTCGGACCTCGTTTCTCCACTCGAGTCCCGATGTCCGCGCCTGAAGCCAGCAGCCCCGCAGGGCCTCGCCATCGTCCATGAAGGCCAGCAAAGCCGAGCCGTGTCCTTGGACCGGACAAGCGACACACAGGAGGAAAGGGAGAGGCCGATCGGCTCCTCCGCAGGCACGGAAAGCGGTGCGATGTTCGGAGGTTCTGCGCCAAGAAGCTGCCGTCAGCCGAAGCAGTCGGAACAAGAGACCCAGCGCCTCGGCTCGTCAGCACTGCACTGCAACTACGGAGTAGTGCTTTCTGCGCCGAGATGTGGCTGTAGGACTGCCGCGTAGGGGGCACCTTCGGGAACTGTGAAGGCGCAGTCTGGGCTGAGTCCCAGGTGCAGATTCCGGGGCCCTCCAGCGCCATCTGCGTGGAGTACAGGCTCTGCGTGATGTCCTGGCGCGCGGATCCAGGACCCCCCAAAAAAAGCTCAGAAACGCTATCTTCAAGGACCCTCAGCCTGCCGCTAAAGGAGCTATGTTCAAACCCGACCGGTGCCCAGACACAATGAAACGAAGACAGGAGTCCCCAAGCACGCCGAAGCCGAGGCGCATCGCTCTCCGCCCAGCTGAGACCGACGAGGCCGCGTCCGCCCAAGCAGGCGGCCTCGGCTCGTATAAAACGGCAGCGGACCTAGGAATAACGACAAGTCACTACTAGCACTTGCAACAAGAACCAGAAACACAAATGCATTACAACAGTAACTACAACAATAACAAGCCGGGAAGTTCAAAATCTTACTTGGAGCTCCAGCTGCAGTCAGCCAGCGTTCACTGCCGGTGCTCGAGAACCTGAGACGACCCCGTCTTCTGGTGAGAGCATGAAAAAGAAGGGTAACTCTGAGCAGGGCCTTAAGAGCATAGCCCTAGGCCCCAAGGACCTGAAGCGACCTGACTCTGACTTGAAGCCAAGCAGCTGCAGCTGGAAGAAGCGGTTCTTCAGTGGGCCGCGGTCCCTGGCCAGCGCAGCACCGTCCGGGAGCCTTGGGATGGTGCAAACCAAACCAGAGCCACTCTCTGTGGAGAAAACGCAATCTTTTTTTTTGGTATTTCGCCCGTTTTTTCTTCAGATTGTCGATGATCCTCTACGATGCATATGCAGCTTCTGAGGTGCAGGTATGCCATCCTCTCTGGCACGTGTTGCTCTTCATTGCACATGCTGCTTGCCCCAATGGTAGCAGACCTGAGGGACACTAAAAGGCTCTAGGCCGGTTTGGCCCATGTCAATCCTCAGCACGGACGAGTCGCATGAGCTGCCCGAAAGGCCGAGTGGTGTTCCTCTCGCGGCAAGACTTCGGGAAGACACAGCAAGTCAGCTTCAGCTTCAACAAACGCTGCAACTCCGACGATCACTCGGCACTCATGCCCTGGCATGTCAAGCGCAAGCAACCCTCGATCCTGGCCTGATGTCGAACATCAACAGCACGTGGCAGGGCCCGCACTGTGTTGCTGCGAACTGGTGGGGACGGAAGGGATTGATCGCCAGGTCACCGAAATTCATGAACCTCGGCGGAACTCACATCCACGCAGAAAGCCCCGTTTTGGACCGCGACAGGAACGGATGACAGAAAAAGATATGCTTTCCGATGCCTAAACCTCCTGAACACGCGACCTTAACACTCGCCAAACCACCTAAAACCCAGCGACACTGAACCTCACAACCCCCCAACTTGTAGAATCCTGAAAGAAGCATTCCAGAATCCCTCCTCAGGCCCACAGGGAAAACCCTCATGGAACCCTCATCCTTCGACCCTTCGACCCTAAACCCTAGAAACCCTGAACCTTCGAAGACTAGGCCCAGCGCTCGCTGGCGCAGGCAGAAGTCTTCCACATCCTCAGCGCTGGTTTATAAAGCATTTGGGGTGTAGGGCTTCTAGGCTTCAGGGGGTTTTAGTTTTAGCATTAGGGGTTTAGGGATCGGGGATGCGTCAGGGTGACCTCCTCGCCCCTCTGCAGCTATGGATTGCAGCCACAATCCGAGGCAGTATGGGGTCCCTTAGAACAAGGATCCGCATGTTTTGGATCCATTTTCTTCGGGCGCCTTGTTGTCTGAAACTCCCGCTCCTGCAACGCCGCCGTGGCACATCTGAGTCTCACCCGAGTAGAGGTCCAGGAGATGGAGCGAGGTCCCTGCAGAGACAACAACGACTGCTCCGCGCTGCTCAGAGCACAACAAGTTTTTGTTCGGGGCTTTAAGCCCCCGCCCCGGGTCAAGAATCCTTTGCCTTCCCCCGGAACCGGACTCTGAAAAAGTGTAAAGGCCCATTTGCAAAGTCACTCGCGGGAGCGCCACAGGCTTTGAGACCCCGCATCACTTCCACACTGAACTTATAAACCATCAGGCGCTAAGAGGATTCTTTTTTGCTGTCGTCCCGGAAACCGTGATTTTGTTGCTGTCGTGCCGGGGCCTGAGTTCACTCACTCGCTGGCCTCCTGGGTCCGCGCAACGCCAGCAAAAACGCAGTACACAACATAAAGCAACTACAAGTACAGACAATAAGACCACGGGTTCCCGTCCCCAGGCCCAACTTTCCGTAAAGCCCGAACCATCTCATACGATCTGGAGCCCCTTTATAGCCTGAAACTCCCCAAATGCAGGCGGAGCGGCCGGAACCCAGCAGCAGCGCACCGCGGCTTAGCCAAGCACCACAGGCACCGTTGGCAGTTGGCACGAGGCGCCTGGGGTTCAAGGTTTAGGGTTTAGGGGTTTAGGGGTTTAGGCACGGTTTGGGGTTTGTATGATCCCATGAAGCCACCCGCTTTCGAGAGGAGTCCAAGAGATGGGATGCCCGACTTCAGACTCCGATGATCTCAGAAGGCCAAGCCTCCGCACACCGGCAGGCCCTTTGGGTAACGAAGGCAGAAGGCCCAAAGCCAAGATGCGAGGCGAAGTTGGGAGGCGAGTCTTCGTAGAGATTCAGCACGCTGACCTTGCACCACTCGCAGCCCGCGCTTTCGAAGCGATGCGAGTCTCACAAAGGCAGCGGCCTTCCTCCAAGCACCGGCCGGGGGCCCCGGGCGGAAGCCAAAAAAGCCAAAAAAATCCCGAGAGGGCAGCTGGCCTCGGCTGCGAGGTCGGCCGCGAGGACGTGGACGCCCGCCAGGGAGATCAGAGCCACCTGTGGGGGTTCAGTTGGACTTCGCCCCCCTAAGCGCTTCGCCTACATTCTTGCACAGACGGGCATCTAAGAATCTACGAAGCTACGAAGCATCACTTGACAAAGCCACTCCAAATGCCGCGCGACCTGCTCATGCGAGAAGGGCTGCAAACAGACCTGGCGCACGTCGTAGCCGCTGTCGTAGCCTCAGCCGCTTCTCAACTAGACCACTAGTCACCAGACCCGACCCATTCGAGCTCGCCTGGAATGGCACAAGCTGAAGACAGCTTGAGTCTTCCAGAGTACTGTTGGCCGTAGAGCCCTGTTGTGACAGGTAACAAAACACCAGGAGTAAGTTCTCCCAAGCAGCACAAAGAGGACAGGTTTTCGGGACTGCATCCGATGAATCACCCGGCCTTCATGTTCGGATCGTGGCTGCAACTTGTCCCAGACTTGGAGACAAGCGGCTCGCCCGCACTGCGCAGTCGCAGTCACCACCAGCTGGTGTCACAAGATGGAGCCCTTCGGCACAGCGAACCCACACACCTGAGACGCGGCAAGAGCGAACCACGGGGTTTCAGCGATGAAAAGCGAAGAATCACCAACGCTGGGATAGAATTACCCCCGAAACGGTCGACGAGGAAGCTCATGCAGCCCAAGAACCATCCAAGTCCTTGCGCGTGCGCATCTCCACCACGGGGCTGTCAAACTTCCTGTGCAAAGGCAGTTGCCAAACACAGCTTGCTCTCGTGACAAGGCAGCTTCTGCCGCGATTGGCAAGGCTACGACATGCGCCCTGTCCTTTCGACGTGAAAGCGACAGACTACATCATGACCAAAACCCCCCGCAGAGGGCGCAGCCGAGCGTCAGGCGGCTGCGCGCGTTTGGGCTTGACCGAGCGATGAGCGCGCTGCGCGGATCCAAGTGCCTGGGATCGAGGAATCGCGAGCGGTCGCCGCGAGCGTTCTGTTCCCCGCTGCAGTTGGGCCGGGCCCCCCGCTCGGAGTTCCCGTGCGCCTCCTGTCGGATGCAGCTCGAAGTCTTCATGTCCGGCCTCATGGGCCTCATGAGCCCAATCTGAACATCCGACAAAGGGGGGGCCCCGGTGCTTCCCTTCCTGCAGCTCCGGTGTGGAGAGCTCGAAGGAGAGGCGGCGCAAGCTGCAGCCATCCTCGCGCTTTTTCTGCGGCTTCTAGATTCCAATCTTCTCGCGTTCATTTTTGGGTTCTGAAGAGCTTCACCGCTTAGCGCCTTTTTGGACTGTTCATGCGACGGTTGTAATCCTTGTTGCCGGAAAGGCAGGGCCCAACCGACTTGCAAGTCAAAAGTTAAACTCCTCAGATGCACAGTGGCAGCCAACAAGGCCGAAGAAAGGGACTGCAGGCCACAGCTGCGACCACGAGTTGACCTCGTCCCCTGCCATGTTCTACAATTTGTTAGGAATATCACGGTTGGCTGGCTTCCGTCGATGAGCAGCATGGCGTTCCCTCCACACTCGCTTTCTCCACTGTACTGGGCTTACGGCGCTTTGCGCGGCGCAGTATGAAGAAGGAAGTCATGAAGCCTGCAATGATGCACAAGAAGAGCACTGCCTCGTACAACATGGTCAAGAGCATGACCGAGTACGCCAGACACATCTGAAGGCCGAAAAGGAACGCGGCAAGGGCATCATAGAGGAGACCTGCCCCCTTCTCTTTTGTGGCTGCCTTTTCCACCATCACATCACGGGCCGTCTGCAACACGACGATCGCCACTGGAATGATGAAGGCGCCGAAGCAGCCTGCAAAATATCGGGCCTCGCTGTCCAGAACCCATCCTGGGAACAAGAAGAGCACGCACGGCTGGGTGTTGCCAACCGCCAGCTGAAAACCGGACATCATCACTCTGCCAGAACCTACGCAGAAAGCATCCGCGGGGCTGTCACCCACGTCAGGGGCGCCGTGATCGTGGTGATGGTGGTCGTGGTCCATGCTTGTCACAATGTGCCGTGAGCAAGCTCGGACTGGTGGATTTGAACCACGCGGAATCTCGAACCAAGAGAGCTGCGGAGCTCGCAGTCCCGGCTTCGACTGCAGGTGCTGTGAGCTGTGAGCAGTCCTAGCAAACCCAAATGCCAAGCCCAAGGACTCTTCCAAAGAGTTTTTGTCCTGGACGGCTACCAACGCCTCCGAGCAGAACCTGACCGGAGCTTTTTGCTCTTGGGCTCTCTCACTGCCTCTGTATGGGTTTAGGGTTTAGGGTTCTTTGGGGCTTAAAGGTTTCGGGATGTGAAGTTTCTAGTACTAGGGTACTTTTATTTGGGCTCTGGGGCTCCGCAGGGCTTTTACATAGGAGTTGGCTGGATAGGCTCTCGCTCGGAAACTTCCTTCAAGTTTCAGATTTTAGATGGCCCTTTCACAGGTTTTCATGGGGTTAGACATAAGGAGATGAATTCATTTGCTTGATATGGTGACGAAAACGGCTTTCTCTGGCCGGCAAAGACCAGCACGGTTTGCAGTATGTTAATTTCCACTGGGGTTGGTTACGCTGCGAGGCCGTCCTAAAGGAAATTGGAAGCAAGAATTACTGACGAAGCGGAGGTCCAGACATGAAACCTTGACAAGTCAAAGAAGACGACTGTGCACACACAAGTCTTCACCGCATGTGCTGAGGTACTATCTTATTATCGCCTGTGTTGCAAGGTCCCACTACTAGGCCCCCGGGCCCACACAGTGCGAGAGCCTGCCGTGGCCGCTGCAGTCGTGCAGCCTGGCCTTTCCTCTCGATATTTCGAGGGGTCAGTCTTGCTCCAGCGAGGGCCCCTTTTGCACCTGATTCCTTCAATCTTACCCTTCAGCCTTCGTTCTGTGAGTGCAAGTTGAAGCGATCCATCAACCAAGAGGCCGAAGTCAAGACTGAACTTTTTGTCGCAAAGTCGTTTGGTCTAGCGGATGTGCTGATGCGGCCCCAGGCCACAAAAGTGATACCAAGAAACCCTCCTGCCAAAACCGCATTGCTCCAATCACTTCCCAAGTGGCAAAAATGGTCGTTGCAAAGACAATAGCAGCAGTAACAGTTGTTGTCGTCATCGTAGTTGCAGCCGTAGCCGTAGCCGTTGACTATGACTAGTACAGGTAGTTTAGCTGCCTAGCTATTCTTACTATGTGCTCCGTCCTCTTTACAGAAGAACCCCGGTCCTGAGCGTCTTCAGAAGCTGGACCTCGCAAAGAATGCAGGGTTGGAGCCCAGGAGATTGCCGGGTTCGGCTTTTAGACCACATGTATTTAAAAGTTATAAGCTAATCCGCATTGACATTCTTCGACATCTGCGGCGAGGACTCAAGGCTCAGCCGTGGTTGCGGCACTGAGTTTAGCTCGAGGTGGCTTCGTGGTTCAGCACCCACAAATATTGGCATACTTGGACTCTGTCGGCTCGGATGGCCCGAATTAAGCAGCCGAAGCACATCTGGAACAACGCGCAGTCGGGGAGAGGCGAACTGATCGGCATCTGCCCACCTGCAGGCCCGGGCTTCCAACACGAAGGCAGCAACCTGGCCAGGACCCTCGCGACCTCCACTCGTGCAACTTCGGCGTCAGGTTGACGCACTCTTCCACCTGCAAAGAAGCATCGGCACGAACGGCAGTCTGGGTGCTCTTGCATCTCGCACATACTGGAAGCAGCGGCGCCTCCAAAGACGATGGCACTTCCACTTCTTCATCCCTGTGGCGCTTCCGAGCCATCGCATCTTTGGCAGGAAGGATACCACACTGTCATCCTGGCTATGGATAATGCAAAACTTTGATGCTACCTGCTACAAACAACCCTGATCTCATGCAATGAATATACTAAATTTCTAAAACAACCCCATCTAACAACTTCTTGTCTAACCTCTGCCCTCGGCCACACGAAGTCACCACAAGAAGTTCAATCCAACATCGACACATGAAGATCGCAGAGTGAGGCCCTGCAGTGTGCATCGGTGGTCAGATGATGGACTGCTGGAATGACGCAGCCGAGGCCTTAATCCAACGTTCCTGTACCTGCACATACCCAAGTGGTCCGTCCAAAACCGTAGGCTTGACGGAAGCTCAAGTTTACTAGTACCTCTGCACCACTGCTACTAGTACAATTCGTTGCTAGTGGTACTATTAGTCGTGGTGGTGTAGCGGTATAGTAGAAACATTATCGGTAGTAGCAGTAGAAGTGGTAGTTGTTAAAGTATTGATAGTAGCAGTAACAGCGGCAGTAGCGGTAGCCGTAGCAGTCGCAGTAGTACAGCAGCGGCAGCTACGACTGCTACTACTACCGCTACCACCACTTGTACGAGTGCAGTACAAGTACTAGTGCTAGTGCTACAGCAATTGCGGTACTACTTGTGGTACCAGTACTAGTGGTCATAACACTGCTACATTGTACCAGTACGAGCATCATGATTGGACCATAGCGTGGACCCCGAGGCACTGACAGCTCACCGTAGCCGGCACAGTGTCTGCACTAACGCCTGGAGATCACGGGGTTTGGGATGGGTTACGTGGGGCAGTTTAGGGTTTAGGGTCCCCAAACAGAACTGTCCTTGCCCTGTCATGTAAGGGCGGCAGCTTCAGCTCTGAGAGTGAGGCATGCGCTGGAGCCGGCTGCGCAGTGAAGGCCTTGAAAAACGGATCTTCCCCGGAAAGTCTGAATAGGAATGCAGGCCCTGGCTTCGCTCCTCAACTCCCGAGGTCCTGCCTTCACCGCCTGCTGCGCCGCCTGGGCCGCCTTTGAGGCGCGGAGATGCTTCTCCAGGGCCTGGCCACGTGCCAACAACAACCGACTCCACAACAAAAAGCTCCGGACGCCTGAATCCTAACACCCCAGCGGACGAGAAGGCGCCAACAGACCACGTTCACATTACGGGTCTGTCCCCCGAGGTGCACCTCCTGCGTCTCTTCGGGGAGCGCCTGACACGGCTGTCTTTCGAGGACTCAGATTTCTCACAAGCTGTGGACTACGATGTATTATGATGGTTTACGGTGTCGGGTTGGAGGATCAACTTTCCATGGCTTGCGCCGGCATTGCCCGAAGACCCTCGGAAGGCCTCCACGATGGCGTGGCGCTGCTCCGGAGTGAGCTGAGGCGGAGGCTTCAGACTTTCCCCAAACCCCAAAACCTCGTGGAATCTCGTGGATCCTTCGTCCCTGTCTGGTGCTCCAAGGTTTTTGAGCCAAGGGATGTTGGGTTTCCGACTTCGGCATCTCTGCGGTTATCTAGGCCATATCCGCCCATCGCTGCAGCCAGGATGCGTCTCGAAGGATCTGGACCACCGATGCCTTGCGAATTCTGGAAAGACTCTGCAGATAATAGGAGAACGACCGACTGCACTAGGACGTGCCAAGGCCGCAGCCATGTCCGGGGCCATGAGCACCTGCCCAGGGGACTCGAGGCCCGAAACGGGCACAGTTCTTAGGTTTTTGAGGGAGTCTATGAGGATCCTACCGTGTCTTATGCAGAGGACGTGTTTGACCGCCGAGAACCCGAAGAGGAGGGCAGGTGATGTGCAGTGTGGAGTCGGTGGATAGTGGATAAACCTGATTCCTTTACAAGGAGGTTCAGACCCGGGGATAGACTGGCTCCAGAGCTTTGAGGAGTTCTGCCAGGGTGGTTTGTAAATTTATGTATACATACATATATATATATATATACACATATAAATATATGTAGACTTGTACATGTATACTTATACATAAAAATATTAGATTCATACATGCATACACACATACTGAGGTCCCTGAAGCCCAGCCTGGGTGTGGATGGCTTCGAAGGATCTCACCGACTGGAGCGGTGCAGGGGCTTCAAAGTTCACATGACCGCGGATTCAACAAAAACCTACCGGAACCCCGAGGCTGAAGCCACCCTTTCAATAAACTCTTCTAGTCTCGATAAATTGCACGATTTTGGCCCGGTCCTACGAGGACACCTCCAGCACCCTCCTCTCAATTTGTCCCCTCCTTTCTCCTTCCTCGCTCGCAAAGGGGCTCGTAGAAGCTCGCAGCCTGGAGGAGCTCCTGGCGCTTGGGGCCTTCCGCCGTCTCCAGGAGCTGCCTCGGCCAAAGGAAGGATCGATGAGATGAACAGAAACTTTCCTGGACAGACGTATACCATGCAAGATCATGATGCATTTTTCCGAGCAGGAGGCCAGGCTTTCGCAAGGGGAGGAAAGCTTCAGAGGACAGGGGAGTAACGTCAGCGGCAACTGCTTCGGAGCATCAGCATCGTAGATCTGATTTTCTACTGCAATGACGACTTCGCACCAGGGAAGCTTCAAACTCCGGGAATCCAGCGGGACGTTGCCAAGGAGTCGCCGTAACCGCGAGGAGCTCGCCTGAGCCAAAGTGCCCCCTCCCCCCCCGGACGGAAAACCGGTAAAACCCTGCGCTGCTGGCCTCCTGCTTCAGGTGAGTCATCAGCTCCCGGCGTGTCGCCTCGGAGGAAAAGGCAGCAGTAAGAGGCTGTGAGGAGGGCAGACACCCGCAGACGCCCCCGGATCTTCGCGATTTTTTCCTTCGGCTTTGAGCCCCCTCGCTCCCGGCGGAAATTGTTGTGGCCGGCCCGGCCCGCCTCGGGCATCGCCGCCAGGGCGGTCCGGCGCTCCTCCGCTTCCATGGCCTCAGATCGGGGGCTCCGGCTGGGCTCCGGCGCCTCGGAGTCTCTCCCTTTGGGGGCTCCACCACCGCGCCTTGGGCTCGGCTCGCTTCGCTCCCGAGGGCCCGGCCCTGAGTCGCTTCAGGATGCCCTGGCGCCGCGGAAGCCGCAGCGCAGCAACCAACCCACGAAGCGTTCTTTTGTGCGGACACCCCAGGCGGACCTCCAGCTCGGGAAGCGGGAGCTCCGGCTGCCTCTCTGGAGGGAGGCGTGCTATGGATCTCAAGAGACATTTCAAAGCTCGGAAAATGCCTCAAGAAACAAAAGCACCCTTTAAATCACGACTTTGGCGCCCTTGCTTGATTTGCTGTATATGTTCTACGGTCTTGCAGGCTCTGTGCCCTATGCGGGGAAGACGCAGCATGCTGTGGGAATGGGGTACCCATAGAGCCTAATGTCAGCTAGTGGGGGGAAAGCGGCTCAAATCACATCTGCCTCGTTGTTCTGGTTTAAGCTATCCAAACAACCTCAGCACCCTAAACTTGCTCTCGGCTCACAGTTTGGAACCCATGATGAAAACGTGCTGGACATGGAGAGCCTCTCCAAAAAAAAAAGCCAACATTCTTCCATGGTCCCATACTTGCCGTCCCGGTCCCAGGCACCCGGTCGACGCTGCAGATAGCTTTGGCAGTTCGGGTGCACCCGGCCAGCGAAACAGCCAACCTCAGAACACTTCGGCCCTGCCTTCCAACTCTTTTAGGACCCCTGATGCAGTCTCTAGACTCTAGACAACGGTGTGCAAAGAAACCTGACATAGACGCCCCCTACAGAGAAAGCTAAGCAAGTATCATAAGACCCAGGCCCGAGTGCGCCCCCTGCGAAGTGCAGAGGTGGCTGATGGCGCTGTTGGGGACGCCTGCCGGGTGGGGCGGCTGGGATTTGAGTCGGACCGGAAAGTGTCGGCTCGGGATCAGGGATGCCGACGATTTTGGGGTGAACTTTGCGGTTTAGTTCGGGTGCGATTAGATCCCAGAGCATGACAGTCGCCAAGCCGGTGGGACGAGCCTGTCTCTCGACTGGCAGCTGCAAGGGAAGGGAAATGGACCCAGTCTTCATCCTCACCTGGCGAATCAGAAAAGGAACACTCTGTTGCCAACTGTTCCGAGATGCGGAAATCAGGACAACACAGAAGTTTCTACTCTGCAGTGCCGCTTCAAACCAGATCCCAGCCCAGAGCGCCTTCTTTGCGGGCTTCAACAGGCTTGCACCTCGCTGCAAAGTCGCACGTGGTGCGCGTGAGAGAAACTTGACATGGCCCCGCAAATTACGCCCTTGTGCTGGTGCTTGCGATTTTCGCAGCTGGGGGCACAGATGCAGAGCCGGGGCTCAAGATTTCTTCAACCCACGAGCTGGGAAACCTCGCCACTCCGATGCCCCCGTATCGCTGCACTCATCCGCTCCCACGCCGCAGAGCTCCACTTACAATCAACATACGGCTCTCTGACAATCTCCACCGAGTTTAGGGCTTTCACAAAACAGCGGACCCCTAACAAAGTGAAACAACCCCTAACAAAGTGAAACACAGCACCGCCATGTTTCGTCAACCCCTAGGGTTTCCAGGCTCCTCGCTCGAATTTCTTGCGCTTTCTCAGGCGCTCTAGCTCGTCGGCTGGGTCCTGCAGCATCCCCTAAGGGGGTCGCTGTCTAGAGTGATCTTGAAAAGAAGAGGCTTCCGAACAGGATCCCAAATAGCAGGGTGTCTACCAACAAACATCCTAGTAAAGATAAGCAACATACCCTGGTTACAAGCTGTTGGAGTCTCTGGCATCTTGTCTTTGAAACCACACGCATCGCATGTTCAGGCAACAACTTTGTTCAGGCATCGTGGCATGCTGCTGAAACATACTACTTCAAGGTTCATGGCTCGTGATAAGCGGGGCTGCTGTATCTATAGACAGCACTGTAGAGTCTGCAAGTGGTCCGGGACTCGAATTCCTTTCACACGGGGGCAGGACTAGGACCGAAACTCGATCGAGAACCCTGTGGGCGCTTCTTGCGACTGGAATCCCTCACAGAGACCCTTGTTCTCCTGATCCGCTTAGGTTCTTATTGGGGGGGTTCCCTGTTTTCAAGAAGCCGCTTCAGAGCCCAAACCCCGTCACAAGAAATCCTGACCTCCTTCGGCTCCTCGTGAAAAGGCGCCTGTCGCGTGCAGTCCCCGCTTTCCGCTCTCAGCTCTGGGGCCCCGGCCCCGGGGTTGGCGCCTGGCCCTCGCCCCCTGCGGCGTCGTCCTCTGCCTCTGCGCCCTCGGCACCCAACACCTGGCCCGGGTTGGCCGGGTCCGCCTCACGGCCCTCTGCACCCGGCACGTGCGGCACGGGCGGCAGTGCCAGAGGCCTCAAGCGAAAGGCGGGCCATGCAACCGGAATTGGAAAAGACGCCAAGAGCCGAGAGCCGCACGGAGCCGCAGCCTCCTCAGAAGCTAAAGGCCTCTTTGAAAAAAAAAACTCAAAAGCAGACTTTTTGGAACCTTCGCGCAGGACGGCCCTCAGGCCTCCTCCGTGCGCCTGTCCGCGGCGATGGTCGCGGAGCCAGTCGACTCGGTGGAGACAAGAATGCACCCTTCGCATGGCAACACGGCCCCTTCTCCGACTGCCAACGATTGTGTTTCCCTTGCCCATGTCATGCCTCTCCCGCAAAAACGCTAAAAGCGGAAGGCGCCTTTTCGCTTTGGCCCGTGCAGGCTTGGGGATGTCCACCTGGCTGCAGGCTTCGCCAAATTGAATTCAGTTCCTTTCATCACCCTTCACTTTCGAGAGGTGCCGTTGGAGTCACAGAGCCTCACCCAAAGCAACACGCATACCTTTCATCTACGAGACGTCCCTTTTGAGTCAAGCCCTGACAAAAGGTTCCAGTACAAAATATTAACTCGAGCGGGAAGGTCTGAGTTCACAGTAACACTGCTCTGTTCGCCAAACACGACCATAGCTGCTGGCAGTGTAACAACTCTTGCCAGGCAGGCTGCCCAGATGCTGTCCACGGACACATCTGCGCCCTGCCATGTTGAAAGCGCCGGGGCACGGGACACAAGTTTCCGAAAGGTAAAAATCCTACTTCTGCAGCACATCTGATCCCTCCCCAGGCCCATCCCACGGAGACTTGCATCCCACATGCTGGACACGTCTCTCCTTGGATGGTGCTCCACGGGTCAAAAGATACCTCAGCAGCCCGTGAGCACGTGTTCGCTGCCACAACTATAAGCACGGATCGCGCTAGCAAGCCAGCATGGCATGAGGGCGCTGGCTCAAAAACGACACATTGTGCACTAGGCAGCCCGGGTGCAAATCATTCTCGAGGAGCTCCTCCGGGTGCTCCGCAACTTCCGGTGCCTGCAAAAGATGCATTACACACGCCATTTGCTACCATGAAAAAACGCTCTTTCTGCAATTACCTTCCCGGGCATTGTGTGTAGCGCAGGTCTTTCCGGCCTCTTCGCCAGCACCACAACCACTCCCCTCCTCCAGGCTTTCAGAAGGCGCCAGGCTCCTCCCAAGAATTGGAAAGAAGAAGCTGTGCTTCCGCCGATAATTTTTCCGGTGCCAACGTTCGGTTCCCCGTCCCCCCGTGGCGACCTCGGCTCGCTGCCGGGGCCCGGAGGCGGAGGCGGATCCATAACTCGACCCCTTCTTGGGACTGTATTCTCTGTATTCCGAGTCCGAGTGTTCTGGAACGCTTGCCTTCGCGGGACTCGTGCTTGAGTCACGTGTAACAACCCATAGGCTCCTAACGGTGGCTTTGTGGCTCCAAGCGGGAGCAAACTCTGTTGGCCATTCCGGAAGCGTCATATGTATTTGGGTATGACGAAAACTTGCCACTTGCCAGTGTCCTGAAACCCGTTTACACTTGAACAGAATGCTCAAATGAAATGGATCATTGCGGTCCGTCCGGCATCATACTGCAATCGTAAAAGATGCACATGCCGAACAAAAATCTCCATTTAATGCCCAGCAACAGATGACCCGCCCTGAAGTCTTGCATGCGACGCCGGCGTGTCCGGATGTCACAGAGGAGTTTTTGCTTTGCAAAAGGGTTTTGGTTTCTTTTTAGCGGTACGACTTATGATATGAGGTAGAATTGGTGGTTCGACATATACAAGGGGCACGAACAATCACTACTCTGACTTCCAAATCAGGGCTACATGTGGTTTAGCTGCTGCCGTAAATGGCAGGCCATCCCACGCAGCCGTGGAAGGGTCAGAGTAGGGAGAACTGGTGGTGTGTAGTTGGCTCGGCGCCAGAAGATCAAAACGGATAAAAATAGAATATTTTCAACGGGTGCAGACGATGTGACGAAGAGTTAGCACACCGTCGCACAGATGGGTCCTGGCAAGCTGCAAATTTAGTTGATGTGACGCTTGCCCAGAACAATTTTGCTCTCTGAAACGTTGGTTGTTGCGACACCCGACGGGAGGCATCTTTCATCATACTTCACAAGTCAAAATCATAAACTTTAATTTCTCGCATGGTGCGTTCCCGGGTTGTCAACATTTGGATCTTTCAATGTGCTGCTGGTCCGTTTTGATCTTGATGATTTCGATTTTTTGCAAAGACACATCCGTGAAAGAGGTTCAACATGATTCACAAAAATACCATGAATTAGGAAGCAAAGCTGCTGCAGGTGACGGCTATTGCTTTCATTCCTCGTTTCTTTCTGGCATATGTAGGGTTTTTTTGGCGTGAGCGGGCCTCGTCGACTGCGTCAGCAGCTCTCGGTCCCTACAAGAAGCTAAGCAAGCGAAGAGAACAGCCCAAAAACACTGAAACAGTGAACAAGCTGCGACGTGCAGGCTTTGCCGGCAGGAGTCGTTCAGCTACGGTTCCCGCCCTGGTCTTAGTTGCAAAAGACCTCATAATACGGCCTCTTTTCAATCCTTTTCAGATGGCCCTGCCCTCCGTAAACCATGGAGAGTACTGCAGAATGCATTAGACCTCATAGAATGGTCCCGCCCAATGGCCCTGCCCTCCGTAAACCATGGAGAGCGCAATGGCCGCATCCAGCATGAACTTGGCCTGCTCTCCGTAATGCATGGAGAGCGTAACGGTGGCAAAAAAGAGTGCAGCAACGGGTTCTTATTCAAGTATCGTAAATCAAGTGACCCCTTCCAGATGTCCCAGCACACCGTAATCCTTGGAAGGCGCACTGGCTGCATCCAGCATGTCCGAATCGGACTGCTGTCCATAATGCATAGAGCGCAATACCTGTAGAGCCCTCATGCGCTGATGTTGGCGTCAAGACTCACCATGATGGCAAATTTCTGGCATTGACCACAAGTTGTGACATGTTTGAGAGTGGATCGTTTTGGCATGAAATGCCCCACCCGGATCTGGAGTTTGGTCTCCGAAGCCAACTCGGGGTTCAGGGACTTTGTCTAAACCTCGTTGCCTGCGGTTGCAGCACTCGGTCTATTGACATTTTTTGGTTTTTTGGCAGAATTCTGTGGAAAGACGCAGCCAAAGACTTTGGAGAGCAGCCATCAGAAGTCTTTTCAGATGCAGACACCGGGCACTGTCGATGCGCAAGCCGGCCGCATGGAAGATAAGCTGCAACCTGTCCACATAATGCATAATCCAATCCAACAGCAAGCCGATAAAAGCTTCAAAATGACGACTTGCGTCTTCAGAGCAGTTAACATGCAAGCAAGTTGAAAGAATGGCAGAAGGACCACCGAGCCATCCAATGATCGGTTGTACCAGAAGCAGGTCTGCTTCTCAAGTCCATGCCGACAGCCAGGACTGCCAATATGAGAAGGCAGATACAAAAAAAAACAGCATCACCTGTACGCTTTCTTAACCAACACAACATCGCGGCTCCAAATAGAAATGGTTCTCAAGGTCTGCTTTGTGCCCTCTCAGCAAGAATACTGTCAGAGGAGAGCAACGTCCACCAGTGCCATCCCGGCAGCTCCAACACAGAAAGTCTCCCACAACAACAAAGCGCTGTCTTTCTTCCTCGAGCGCTCAGAGTCGCGGCCGCCGAAACGGCAAGTTGGTAGGGGCTGTACTCTGACAGCCAAAGGGCAACCCTAGCTTCCTTGTTTTCAGGAGCTGTACAGGTTTGGTCCTACTCTCTAGGACCCCCGACCTCCCAGTCCTCGCTGGTGAGGTTTGCGGAGGAAAGCTACTTCAGACCTACGCTCTAGGCCCTTCCTCCCGGCCATTGCCGGAGAGGTTGACAGCCTTCCTACCTGTAGGCCTTTTGCTCCCGTTGGCAGGTGAGGTTAGGAAGCCTGGGTACTGGTAACACCTGTCCCTGGTTGGCCACCAGTGCCTCCAGACCGGTTACTGGTTCACCAGTCTGGTCACTCAGGGACCCTGGTTGAAGCAGGTTGGCACACAACATCTGCTCTGAACCGCAGATTGTTTGCCTGTACCTGCGTGCTGAAAGGTGGCATCACGCTTAGAGGCTGACCCTCAGGCCAGATTCTTACACGGTCTATTTGCGCGCCTGTGCGCCACATTCGTGTGTACATGTGTGTGTGTCTGCATCATTCATGAAGACTGTGTGTCTGCATCATGAAAAGAGGCCATGAAGTGTGTGTGTCTGCATCATGAAGTGAGAAGGAGCTGGACGAGGAGAAGGGAAGGAGGAAGGAAGGAAGGAAGGAAGGAAGGAAGGAAGGAGGAGGAGGAGGAGGAGGAGGAGGAGGAGGAGGAGGAGGAGGCGGGACAGCCCCAAAAAGTAAGAACCCCACACATAGATGTGGGGAATTAAGGCTTGGGTCAGGGAAGGGATGAGGTCAGCACTCAGCTTCACAGGCAGCTCCACACTCGTGTCAGCACATGATGCGCAAAATCCTGTAAAATCCACGCGCGCGCATGAAATCAACTGCCCGAAACCTCGTATCTGCGACCTTGGACCTCGGACCTCCGACTCCGGACCTTACCTTGAACCTTCTGCCTGTAAGTGGAAAGTCTAGTGGATTGAACGGTTTTCGACCTCACCTCGGACCCCGGACCTCCGACCTCGGACCTCCGACCTCGGACCTCCGACCTTACCTCGGACCTGCAGCCTCCAGTCATTAGCATGAGGGCACAGGCACGGACTTAAAAGTCCAGCTTGAAAAGCAAACCCCAAACCTTTGGGACCTTCCGGACCTCCCGGACCTAAGTGGCTAGCCACTTGATTCCTAGCCACTTGATTCCTAGCCACTTGATTCCTAGCCACTTAATCTATAAGGATGCTTACGGGAAAGAATTAGGTTTCTGCACAGATTGCCAAATCCAGCTACTTGATTCTTGATTCCTAGCCACTTGATTCCTAGCCACTTGATTCCTAGCCACTTAATCCATAAGGATGCTGACGGGAAAGAGTCAGGTTTCTGCACAGATTGCCAAATCCACTTGATTCCTAGCCACTTGATTCCTAGCCACTTGATTCCTAGCCACTTGAATCACTAGGTGCATCACCAGCATCACGCGAGTTCACGGCTGCTCCCTTGTGTCCCAGCACACTCAAAGTGCAACAAGCAAACGCGCAGTTCAAGGTGACTGCAACTCAAAGCAATGCAACAAAGCAAACGCGCAACGGCATCTTGCGGGCATACTCTCTCTCTGTGCGGTATGTCCAGCTGCCGTCAGAACACAGCACAGGCAGAAGCGATTCCACGATCAATCAAGGACATCAGAAATCCCGATTCTGAGCCTCGAAAACTGCGAGCAGCAATCGCAGTTGTGCAGCAGAGCAGCGTAGCCTGCAGAGCTGCAAAGCCGCATCCCTGCGCACGACTGCAATTGCTGCTCGCAGTTTTCGAGGCTCAGAATCGGGATTTCCGATGTCCCTAAGGTGTCAGCCCTGCACATAGTGCATTTTAGACTTGAAGCCGCGTAGGATTGTACACCTTGATCGTGGAATCGCTTCTGCCTGTGCTGTGTTCTGACGGCAGCTGGACATACCGCACAGAGTCGTTAATTGGGGATGTGGTTACCACGTGGGCTTATCTGGGTTTTTTTTGGCTTGACTGGGCCTCGTCGACTACGGCTGTAGCACTCGGTCCCTACAAACAAGCGAAGCAAACACAAACTACAAACTGGCAAAGCGGTGAGACAGAAAAGCGAAGCTCTACAAAGGGCTGCGGCGCACAGGCTTTGCCGGTGGTAGCCGTTCAGCACCAAACTACGGAGCCTCAGCGACCGGTCTGCCCAAAACAACAGGTGGAGCCAAGTCCAGGCTCCGGTTGCCGTTCTAGTCTCGCCAGACAACGGACAACCGTACAACCCCTGTGTTTTGTTCCGTCACGATCGTGCACACCAAAATCCAAAAGTCCACGGCCCACTGCAGTGTGAGCGGCTTCCGGAAGAGGAGTGCGAAGACCAGTGTCGCAGGCAAGTGACCCGCCTAGGCAACCGCCATCACGTCACAAGGCGTGCCAAGCACAAAAACGGTCTCGGATGCAACACTGGCAACAAATGTGGGCAACACCCACACAGGCAACCTGCCGGGGTCCAACACGTGACAAGCTGTGCGACCAGTCCGCTCTGGTGCACATGGACACCGCCTCCAGCAGAAGCGAATCAATGTCGCAAGCGGTGAGTTGGGACACAGGGTCAGCCGCTAAGGAGGCAGAGATCGCCAAGGTGGACATTGACATGCAGGTCACCGCTTCCACGGCATAGC